GGAAAGAAGGGAGGGGGGGGGTGAGCATTGTTTGAACCTTGCTCTCATCAGATTTGGCTGGAGAAGGGAATAATATAATCAGTTAGGTATGGAAATCTAACTTGCCTATGGGCAGTAGGAAGGAAAAGGGGAAAGAAAAGGGAGGGTGATGGAAGGGAGGGAAGAATGGGGGCGAGGGGAAGATAGAAGGGAGGAGAGACTGAAGGAGGCGGTGGTCAAAAGCAAAGTACTGGTGAGGGGTGGAAGGAAGAGAGGAGAAAGAAAAGCATAAACGGGGGAAAAAAGGATGGAGAAAAAGACACAGAGAGTAATCATAACTGTGAAAGTTGAATCGTTTTTTTTCCTCTTCTGTTGAGTTTTGTTTCCTCTTTCTGCTGGTTCCTCCTATTGGTTTAATTTTTACTTACAACTTCACTAATGTTTTCACATATTTTCATATGTTTTAATAGGAATGTATAGCCTATATCAGATTGTACACCATTTGGGGAAGGAGGTGGGAAGGAAGGGGAGAAAATTTTAAGCTCAAAAGCATATGGAAGTGATTGTTGGTAAATCAAAATAAATTAATAACATGGGGTTTTTTTCTGTCCCATTTACCTTTTTCTCTCTTGAGTCTTGTATTTGAGGATCGAATTTTCTGTTGAGCTCTGGTCTTTTTATCAGGAAGGTTTGGAAGTCCCCTATTTCATTGAATGTCCATCTCCTCCCCTGAAAGATTATGCTCATTTTTGCTGAGTAGTTGATCCTTGGTTGTAATCCAAGCTCCTTTGCTTTATGGAATATCGCATTCCATACCCTATGATCTTTTAATGTAGAAGCTGCAAGGTCCTGCATAATCCTGGCTGTGGTTCTATGATATTTAAATTTTTTCTTTTTGGCTGCTTGCAGTATTTTCTCTTTGACCTGGTAATTTCAGAATTTGGCTACTATATTCCTTGGCATTTTCAATTTGGGATCTCTTTCAGGAGGTGATTGGTGGATTCTTTCTATGGCTACTTTACCCTCTGGTTCTAGGACCTCAGGGTAGTTTTCCTTGATGATTTCCTGAAAGATGCTGTCCAGGCTCTTTTTTCCCCCAATCGGGATTTTCAGGTAGATCAATAATTTTTAAACTGTCTCTCCTGGATCTATTTTCCAAGTTGGTCATTTTACCAATGAGGTACTTCACGTTTTCATCTATTTTTTCATTCTTTTGTTTCTGTTTGACTGATTCTTGCTCTCTCACAGAGTCATTTGCTTTCACTTGCCCAATTCTGATTTTTAACAAATTGTTTTCTTCTATTAGATTTTGTACCTCCTTCTCCATTTGGCCAGTTGTTTTCTTCAGTGTACTTTTTTCCAGTTGGCCAATTGTATTTTTTAAGGACTTGTTTTCTACAGTTAATTTTTGTCCCCTTCCTTTTCCAAGTTATTGACTCTCTCTTGCATACCTCTCATTTCTTTTCCCAATTTTTCTTCTACCTCTCTTATTTGACTTTTAAAATCCTTCTTGAGCTCTTCCAAGAAAGCTTTTTGGGCTTCAGACCAGTTCATATTCCCTTTTGAGGTTCCAAATGTAGGTTTGTTGACAGTGTTGTCTTCTTCAGAATTTCTGCCTTTATCTTCACTGTTCCCATAATAAGAATCTATAGTACATTTCTTTTTGCTCATGGTGTTTGCTTATTTCCTGGCCTTTAAAGAGATTGGGCTCTCCTGCTGGGGAGCAGGGGGGCACTGACCCAAGCTTCTTGTGTTGGAAGCCTGGGGCCTGGTCACTGGCTTTGTGTGCTGGGGCCTCCGATGCTGGCTGTTGGGGGCTGTAGGGTGCTGGCAGCCTACCTGGGGTTGGGCTGGAATCAGCAAGGCTGGAACTCTAGGGGTAGGGTTAGGCAGACTGGCCCCTGGAGGTTGCCTGCTCACCTAGGCCTTTCCTTCCTTTTGCTTTCCTCAGCTCCTTTCAGATGGATGTTGCAGGATGTTTCTCCATTTGAGGCCCCTTGGAACACCTCCCAGAGTTTTGCTGAGGCACTGGGAGACTTAGTTGCAATAGAACACGTAGGCATTTGGTGGTTTTTTTTTTTAAGCTTATTTCCACTGGTTCCCCTGCCCTTACTGAGGTACTTGGGGGTCCTGGTGTTAGTGTTTTCCTGCTCCACCACTTGGGGGTTCAGGATCTCCCCCTGGCATGCTGAGATGGGGCGTTCTGCTAGATTGCTGGGACGCCTCCTGTTCTGTACTGCTCCCCTTTCCCCAGGGCAAGAGGGGCCTTTCCTGTTAATTCCTAAAACTACCTGAGCTAGCAGACTGCTGCACCCCATCTTTCTGCTGGTTCAGCTGTTCCAGGGTTTTTCCTGGGGCAATATTTTCTGGGCTTTCAAAGGTTAATGAGGGATGATGAGAGAGATTTACTTCTTATTCCGCCATCTTGGCTCCCAGAAGCAGAACCTCCCATTTGTGCCTCTTAAAGCTTGATTCAAATCCCACCTCTTCTGGAAGCTTTCCCTGATCTTCAGCACACTTCCCATGCAAGTACACACAGCACCTTCCCAGCTCCACCATGTTGTCATCATGCAATGTGGTACATTATAGTCATGTGTGTATATGTGAGAGACAGACAGAGAAAAGACAGACAGACAGTTTGGTCCTCCTAGTATTTGAAGCACTAGAAAGGAGGGAACCATATTTTGTCTAAGTTTGACATCTCCCTAGCACAGGGTTATATGATTTTTTTCTTATTTTGATATCTTTCAATATAATTGGTTGTCTTTTGCAATCCTATATATTTTATGCACTTGAAAGCATCATTTGAGAAGGGGTCCATAAGTTTCACTGGACTGCCAAATGGGTCCATGACACATACACAAAAAGTTTAAGAACTCTTGGTCTAGAAGAATGTTCTGTATACAGTAGGTACTTAACAAATGTTTGTGGAAGGACTGAAATGTGAAGTGGCAAAAAAAGAAGGAACAACATATACAGGACTGCATACCTGTAATGACAAAGCACTCTGATGATGGACAAAAACAGTAAGAGGGAAATCGCCTGTATTAGACACCAGAATAGATTCTTAATCACTCAGAGCCAGCTCAGAGTCTCTGGATATTTTAACTATATACATTAATAGTTTGCCCGTGTATGAAGAGATGCAATCTTCTACATGCTCTGGGCACCCTCCTTTTAAAAAAAGCAGCACATAGATTAGTAACAGCAAGAGCTGCATGGGAAAGTCTGGGAAACCATGTGTTTTAGGGAGGCCTTATGGAAATTGATAGCACTTTATGATGTCAGGGGCAAGAGAGTCATCAGCAAGCAGGCCTTACAGAGCTGGGTGTAGGTGCTAGACGCTGGATAGACCAAGTGACAGAAGTACACGTAGGCCATGCCTTCTAGCAGCTTATACTCAAAAACTGCAAATAGCATGCATGAAGAGGATAGTCCCAAGGTTGAGCACAACGTCCTTTGCACAGTAGCCTCATAGTAAATGACCAATAATGATAAGGATGCTTAGAGAGATAATCAATCAGCAAGCATTTAGTATGCACCTATTGTGTACCAGGCACCACGGTAAGGAGCTGGGAAACGGACAAATGCCCTTACAGAGCTTACATTCTATCAAGGTAAATATCATGTCTACCAGTGCTGCCAGACTCACTCAAATAGAAATGGGGGGCATTAATCCATATATAATATGGATCCCTATAGCCTGCATACTGACTTAGTTTTAAAATGCAACCTTATTTCTATTTTACTGTATTTTTATTTTGATAAATATTTCCCAATGACCTTTTCATCTGGTTCCAGCACACTTGGGAGTGTTGTGAGCCACATGCAGGCTCGCGGTGTGTTTTCGACCTCTGATGAACACAGACAAGCACATAAGGCAACTGGGGGGGGAGGCGGGGCTCACATAGCAGGTGATGCTTCTGATGAGTTTCGAAGGAAGTGAAGGATTCTGAGAAGCAGAAGTGAGGAAAGAGCGTGTTCCAGGTACGGGGACAGCCTGTGCAAAGACATGAATCTAAGAAGTGGAAGGTAGGATGTGAGGGGGTGCATTTACCCTGCACACCTGTGTACGGGAGACCTAGAATTGTGAGACAGTAAAGGAAAAGAACAAGGGGGTATTTCATGCCTACTTAGGGTCACAGGATGGTGGCTGGTGTATGTTAAGAGGCAGTGCTCTATGCAGTCAGAAGAGGCCAAGTTGGAATTCTGCCACTAGTTGTGGGACCCCTAGCAATCTATTTCCCTCCTCTTATCTTTAGTTTCCTCATCAGCAGAACAGAGATAATAGTAGCACCTACCTCACAGGTTGTGAGGATCAGATGAGAGGAGGCCTAGCAAGTGGTTTTTGAACCTTAAAGACTACAGAAATGTTAATTATATACCCAGCTCCTTCCACTTCCTTAAATGGCTACCTCAAGTGCCACTACCTCCATGAAGCTTCCCAGGACTGTCCCCTCCCTTCGTCTTCTGATAAAAATCATCTCTTGCTGCCCCACACTCAGTTTCTCTTAGTACTTTGTTTCAGTTGCTCCGCAGCATTTATATCTCTTTCCCAAGTATCACAGTTGTTGATGAATTGATAATCCTAGAAGTTCCAAAGCTCCTTCCAATCACGGCCCTGGTATCATTGCCCAGGGGCCTGGCACATAGTGGACACTTATAAATGTTTCTTAAGTTCAATTGACCTAGCAAATTTGCAGAGTTTATTATAGCTGCAGCTGTCCATTATTCTGTCTTCAATGAGGCAGCAAAATTTGAGGAAGTGCTGCATTCCCTGTTAAATAGAATAGCTGGCAAAGAGCAATTTGGGAAAACTTTTAGAAATAGTCAATAGCTGATCTGCTACAATTCCTTTGGAAAAGGGAAGACTTCGAGTGCTTGCAGGAAGTCTTTTAAATGCTTGCACATTTCTGGGAAGAGACAGCAGCCACCCAAATGTTTCATGCTCTGTTTTGTTGAGATGATATGCTTCTTTAATTCATATATTTAAGCTGGGCTCATTTCTCATATCTTCTTAGGAGGCATTCGACACCATATGTGCAAGACAGCTTTGCTGAGAACATCTGGGAGAGGCCAATATTAGGACTCCACCCTGGCTCACTATCTGTTACAGACTGTATCAGGCTCCAGACTTCAGGAAGAGAAAAGCCAGAGGAGCCACAAACACATCAGAAGCTGCATTCTGCTAAAAAGTCACTAATTCGGTTGGCTGAAAAATGTCATTTTCAACAGCCAGTCTACATCAAGTTCAATCGCCTTCTGAGATTGGACACCCCAACCTTTTTCTATCCAGCACATCCCTGAGATCATGCACTTCCTTGGGGCTTCATAATTATTAAATGTAGCCATCAAAAATGTTAAAACCATTAGAATTGGCCTGAATTCTAGTTTCCTTCCCCTGTATCTCTAACTAAAGCATTTTGTTTTAAAATATTTCCCGAGTCGTGCCATTGGTATAAGATCTGCAACTCTCCTCGACCTCATCTTAGTTGTTTCTTTGTGAGTGACTGCACTGTACTAACTGTGTGTTACTGGCAGGGCTGAGGGCTGGGTGAAGGGGAAGGAGGTAGGCCTGGCACTGAGGGAAAGTTGTTAAAACCCCAAATTCAAAGAGTACTTTTGCTTTCTCCTTAGAGGTCTGCTGGGGTTGGTTATTCATTTGCTTTGATATGTAAATTGGAAGATTGCTTTCCCTCTTGGGACCCTGGACAGAGGCCAAAGCATACAGGAGTAGATGTCCTTCAGGATAGAAGCAGAAATGCTTACAATAGCAGTCAAAGCCAAGTTTGTGTTTTGGCTTCAAAATAAAATACCTTTGTTAATAGTTTTTACTTCCAATATAAATGTTTATATGTTTCCTCTTCAAGTCATCTTGGTTAGCCAATAGCTGGAACGCAACAATTCAGCTGTTTGTTCCTTCTTCTGGTCACTGGGGTACTAAAACTTACACTGAGCATTTGAAGATGCTATTTAGGCTTTTCGTTATTTAAATAGCATTTATGTTACCAGGCATCTGTATTGTTTCTCAGCCATTTATTGAAACGATGGGAACCGGTGGAACCATCAAATTGCTCATCTAACAAATCTCATCCATCAAACATTTATGATGTATCTCTTGCACGCAAGGTAGTGTGCTGGGCAGTGGGTATACAAAGACAAAACAAAATAGTGCCTGCCCTCAAAAAGCTTTCATTCTACAAAGGGATACATCACGTATACTGGTAAGTAAACACAAAGTAATTTCTAGAGGGACAAAGTGCTAACAACTGTGGCCATCTGGAAAGGTCTCCTATAAGAGGTGGCAGCCAAGATGTGCTTTGAAGGGATTCTACATCACGTGCACGCCTGTGAGCACCCACTTACACACACACACACACACACACACACACACACACACACACAGATATGTTCAGTGAAATCTCACATTTATGTAACAAACCCCTTTCTGCACAGCAACCCTGTGAAGTAAGGGTCCCTTCCAAATTTTGGGCAATGATCCTATAATTCCCATTTTACACAGGAGGAGACAGGCACAGAGAAATGAGTGACTTGTTCCGGGTCACAGAACAAAGAAGTCACAGAACGTGTACTTGAATCCTGTTCTACCAGGGTTTATTCCAGTGCTCCACACTGTCTCCAAAAGAACTCTGATCAAGTTTATCAGAAAACTAGACTCTCCTGGTCTCCGAAAGGTCGATTACTGCCTCCTATCACCAGCCTCCCCTCAGAATCAATAGCTCGCCTTCCACTTGCTGTTTTGGTTTCGATGAGTGATTCTAATAGGAAGCTTTTAATCTCAGCATTAAAGCTAACCTTCCATTCCAAATCCAACACGATGATTCAAACCTTTGTCACGTCCACAGAAGTACCCACTTTCACAAAGAGATTACTGGATGTCATGCGTTTATAAAGAAGTTTCTTACACCACCACCACCACCAATAACATCACCAACAAAACAACCCTGAGGATCGCACCTTATTGAGAGTGTGGGTAGTACAATAAAGTAGGATGCAGAACAATAACATTCCATTCAGGGAGACCAAAAGTCCAGTGGGCTTTCTTTGGCATAAAAAGAGTAAAGGTTTTCTCTGGCATTGCAGTAACACTTCAGGACTTCAGGACAGTTTCAAAACAGACAAGAATATTTAATAGAACCGCTTTCCACCCCTTCATCCCTTCCCAAAAAAGCCCAATATTCGCTTGCAAGCAGGAAAGAGACTGTCAAGTTTTTAAGGGGGCAAAGGGCACAGCGTACAATACACTCAGCATAAGGAACCCTGTAACTCCAAACAATCACAATGAATACTTCATTGACGCCAGGTAACAAGGTCTAATTAGTTTCCTTTCTCTAACCTTCCTTTCTTTCCTTCTGCATTTTCAATTTTCTTTCTTCCTGTTTTTAAATATGGTTTGTTGTTTTTTTTTTAAACTCCTCTTCCTTTGCTTAGGAGCCTCAATACACTCTCAAAGATTGTTCCAAACTCTTCAATCCATTAACTCACAAAGCCAGAGAGAAGAAAATATTAGCAGCCGCCTGCCCTCCCGGCCACTCCTTAAAATGGCTCGCTATGTCGGCAGGGGAAGCAGGCTGCATTGCCCACCCGGCCAGATTTTACAGTTACTGGGTCTCGGCTTCCCCACTGGAGCCTGTTCCCCTGGCTGAGGACAATGTGCTCCCAATACGTCGGAGGAAACGAATGCCTCTTTCTTTCCAGTCCTCTCAGCCGTTGCAGACATTTACGAAGTTTAGAGAAAACAGCCTACTGAGATTTTTTCATTGCTTCTCATATACCTAAAGAACTCTAAATTTAAAACAAGGCCAAATTATGAAAATAGCAACTGGGATCCTCTAAAAGCCCACTCTTAAAAATAGCTTTGTGATCCTCCATTGCAACACAATGTTTAACATCTGATCAGAACATAAATTTGTAAGATCTCTCAACATTTTACGGGGAAGGATAATGCAGTTGCTGCTCTAGGAAACATAGTTGGACACTCTGTCATTGGAGGTTTATAATTTTAAAGACACCCACATACAACAAAGGAATCTTAAGAACAGCAGAAAGAGTCATTGTGCTCCTTTTCTGATCCCTTGATCGTGAAGGTCACAGGATCACAGTTTTTGAGCTGAGAGGGACCTTAAAAAATTGCCAGAGCCAGGGAGCAGCTTGAGTTTTATCAGAAAAATGGCTTTAGAGGAGGCACTGAAAAGAACTGGGGTCATTTGTGTCCCCCAAGCAAAAGCAGCCAAGCATGGTGAGGGAAAAAGTAGGGGGGAAGAGCAGTCAAAAGGGAACCAACCACACATGCACACAGAGCTTAGCTCTTGGGGCAAGGCTGGCCCTACTCAGAGATACAGGGCATTATTGGCCAGGAAGGGGTATGTGCATGGTGACGATAATAAGATCAGGGCACATTAAGGCTTGCAAACACTTGACATGCATTAGTTCATTTGGACCTCACAACAATCTGGGGAGATGGGCACTATGGGATTATCATCTCCTGTTTTCTAGGTGAGGGGACTTACTCACGGAAGTGCAATGATTTGCCCATCACCATGTAACTAGTAAGTGGGACTTCAAGGTAGGACTTGAATCCAGGACTTCCTGACTCTAAGCCACATAACTCCACCTATTACATCATGATGTGGCATCTTGAACACTCCACAAGGTTCAAGTTTGTATAATAGCTTAAAGTATAATTCAATGATTATTTATCACATGCTGATCATGTGCCAGAAATTTTACTAGATACTGCAAACATAGAGGCAAAAATGAAACAGTCCTTGCCCTCACAGAGCTTACAAATATTTAAGGAGATACAATATTGACACAGGTAGGTAAACGCGAAACAATCAAGCTATCTCAAGAGGGAGAGAATGCTCACAGAGCAAAGAGATGGGGGGGGGGCAGCTGGGAGAGATGGACCAGGAAAGGCCTAGTGTATTCATTTTGAATAGAATGAAGGCCCTAGGACATAGATTTTAACTTGACTTCCAACAACTGTCCTATTCCCTAAGCTATCCTGGCCTCTTTTTTGAATGTTCCCATGTAGGTTTGTTCTTACATGTTGGCAAGGTAGATAGCTTCACCACCCTTTCCCCCCATACTGCTTTCAATTTCTACCATTAGACTCAATCATCACAGGTTGTTTAGAGACATGCATTTTTCTGGATCAAGACATTATGTGACTGTATACGTAGCAGTTGCTCAAAAAAGGTTATTGAATGAATGATCATTGGGCATAGGTAATAAGTTAATTTTTAAACATTATCAAGATGCATAGGAAATAGAAATAAATAAGAACAAAAGCCAAACAAGACAAAACAAGAGCGGTCAAAGCAGAGAATTGAAAACTCTTAACAACCCTATGAAACAGTGAGAGAAAAGCAAATCAAAACAACTGAACTTACACCTCATATCTAGAACATTGGTGGTGCTGGAAGGAGGGCGGAAATATCAGCACACTGATATGGGTATTATGAATTGGTCCAACCATTCTGGAAAGCAATTTGGAATGATGCTAATAAAGTGACTAAAATGCCCATAACCTTTGACCTAAAAATCCCCCTGCTAGGCATTTCCTCAAAGGAGGCCCCATAAGCGCCAAAATATTTACACGGGCACTTTTTTGTGGTAGCAAAGAGCTAGAAACAAATTAGATGCCCATTGACTGGAGGATAGCTGAAGAAATTTTGGATCATGAATGTTTGGGGATAGTAATTTGCTATAAGAATAAGCATAATGCATCCAGAGAAGTATAAGGAGACATTTTACTACTGTCTCTGTTTTCCTAGCATAGTCTGGCACACAGTAGGTGCTTAATAAATGTTTCTTGATTGATGGACATATAAAATATATATATACACACACACACACACACATATATATATATATATATAATATAAAAACTGATGCAAGTGAAGTGAACACAGAGAAATATAATATGCACAATGACAACCATATACATGGAACAAACAACACTAAAACCACTGAAACGATAGACTGTGAAATGCCAGCTACCAAGTTGGGCCCCAAATAGAGACATAAGAAGGCACCTCCTTCCCCCCTCCCTCCTCTGCAGAAGTGGGAGCCTGTGGGTACAGAACACTGCCGTAATGTCAGTCTTGGTTGATGTGGTCATTAGTTTTGCTGAACCACTTTTTTCTTTTCTTTCTTTGTTACAATGGATGACTCTCTAAGAGGGTACAGCAGAACACCAGGAAAGGTAGGTGATGCACAAATTAAAAAATGCCAGTTAAAATGTAAACAAATAGAGATATTAAGAAGATACTATTAAGAATTAATCTGATAAAAGATCCTGAGATTATTATATGCCCACCATGGGCAAGACATTTTTGCCCAGAAAAATTTCCCATAATTTTATGAGAGTAAGACTGAGGAAAGGGAGCATAGGTTAGATGAGTCTGATG